CTATGTTTCCACACACATTAATTCCGTATTTTAAATTATATAATATATATAGCAATATGTACATTCCTTTTAAAAATTAATATTTGAGCATTAGCAAACACATATGTTTACTATTTCTTTACATCTCATGTATGATAATATTTTTGTAGCAATATTCTTCAGTGAAAGATGGATGATAATAAACTACAAGGTTAGCATTTAGTAAAGATATCTTTGCTCTTGAAAGACAGTTTTCTTTAGTGCGGACTGAATTCAAGGTTAACAGTTATTTTCTCTCAGAATAATTCCATTGTTTTGAAGCATCTACATTTAAGAAATTGACTGTAAGTCTTCACTCAGAGGCAACTTTTTTTTCTATTGTGCTAAAATACCTTTTCTCTTTGGTGTTCATCATTTTCACTGCAGCACTGTAAATGTGAATTTTTTTACATATCTTGTTTGGAATCTACTGGGTTTATTACCTACGCATATTGATATTTTCCACAATTTCTAGGTTATTCTCAATAACATTTTTTTTCTTTTTTCTTTTCTGGATCTTACATTAGAATATTTTAGAGTTTCTCACAGCATCCTTTGTATATTCTGTGCTTTTATGTAATTATTTTTGGGTCCTCTATGAGGAACTCAAGGTAACTTTTCTTAACTTTTCCAGATCAGTAATTCTCTATGTTTTTATCTGGGCATTGAATTAGTTATTGCCCTACTTTTGAAAGCCTTTGGTTCCTTCAGTGTAGTCATTATACTTTAAATGAGTAAGTGGAGGAATAATGCATATGCAACTCACTAATTTATAGTTCATATTTGTAATGCTTGTGGATTTTATTATGCAATTTTTTCTTTTTATGATGTCTTGCTTATGATGCTTACTTATTTGCCTGTTTGGAGAATTTATCTTCCTTGGAAATATGTGGGAATTTTTTGAAGACTAGTCTATAAAAAAAGAATTTGAGTTTTCTTCTGGTGATTCCCAAGAAGTATCGCCAAGACAGGAAATCTTTAAACTAGATTTTCTACTGGGGTTTTAGAGGGTATACAGCTAATATGAATTGTGACACCAAATCCAGATTAGGACAGGGTTGTGATTAGAAGATTTCCAAGGTACATTCTGTTCCTTTTTTTTTTAACTACCCCTGAACCACCCAGAGTCAACCTCAAGAGAAATTTTCTAACTCCCACAGTAGGGGCTAGTGCTTTTTCATTGATTCAACAAAGTCATTGAATTTCAAAGCTTCCCAACCTCTTCCAAGGGTCTGTTATGTGACTTTCCAGCTAGTAGTTCAGGATCTTTCAAAATTCAAGCTCTAGGCCTTAATTGAAAAGAATTTCCCCACATCCCTCAGCACAAGGCTGGTACTGGCTTGACAGGCTGGACTTGTGCTTTCTCCGTCAAAGAATTCCCCTAATTCACCTGGTAGGTTAATTATGTACGTAAAAATATGTTATCCATCATTTTTAGTTCCTCTGATAGCTCTGTACTTCTTTTAGTTCATTATATTCCTAGGAACCAAATCATTTTTTAAAAATCTCATTAAAGTACGTCTAGATATCAGTGGCACACATTTTTCAATAGCTCTAAATGCTAATCTGACTGGTAGAGGTTCTGTTTTCTCCTTTAAGTGAAAATATAATACTATTAGGACTATATTCTCCAAAATCTCTACTTTAGTCAAAGAAAACGTACTTGAAGAAAACCTACACTAGCTATAGACAGCTACTGAGAAAAGGAAAAACACACACCCGTATTTTTTTCTGCTTGTGGTGCCTTCTTACAGAAAAGATTTGAGCAGCTTATTATTTAGATTGGTTTTGGGTAGTTTCTCTCAATACAAATTCATAGCCTAAGTTAGAGTTACATAAAATAGAGCCTTAAACCCCATGTACAGTACATACATTTCTAGTCGGAGAAGAGAAAAAGTGAGTAAGAGAAAAATGACTTTCACCCCGATACCACAAAATGCCATACAGCGTTCTTGCCGTTCTCTCCTTCAATGATATTTACCTACTACCTGCTGTGTGTGGGTGTTGTTCCCGGTAGTGAGACTCTGACCTTGAATGAAGAACACATGAATGATGATACAGAAATGAATATATAAACAAAAGAAGCAAATACTATGACAGCTGTTTGAAAATACGAAAATACCCCCTTTCTTTGTTATCTTCTTTAGAGTGAGGATGAAATAATTTTTGTGTTCCATGGTTATGATAGCTGCTTTTGCTCTCTGCACAGGAGAAAATATGCCTCGACGGACATGGAGTCTTCAAAGTGATTTTCACTGGCAAAGTTTCTTGCTTAAAAACATTTTCAAAATTCTATTCATCTACACTCAACACTTCTCCACTCCACTCAGTCACAAATGCAGAAGAAACACCCTATAATTCACACCGGCCTTTCCAATAAGTCAATCGATTTAGCCTGTAGAGTGTTCTAATTCAACTTCTGTTTTCTTCACCGATAAATTTCAGGTTTCATACTCACAACCAGCCATGAGCCAGAATGAAAGATTTAACAAAAGCTTCTGCGTGGTAGCTGTTGAGTAAGCATTCTGATACATTTCCACGCTATAAACATTTAATGAGACTTGTTCCCAACAGAGTATTTACTACATCCATTTACTCCATAGCATTATATTTGCAGGAACAAAATAGAGCAAAGGTTATTTTAGATCCTTCACCAATACAGCTTCCTGTAAATAATGAAAAGTGCAACCATTTAATTTACAAAATCATTTAAAAAGGTTAAACATTCGATAAATTCGGCTTTATCTAGTTCAGGCACCCTCAGCAGCTATTTGTAGCTTGGATATAAAAAATACATAAAATTTAGGCATTTTGTACCAGTTTGTGCCTCCCTAAATCTGACTGCATCTGATTTCGGAGGCTGTTAGGGCAGCATTAGCATTTCAAGGAAATATCTTCAGGACTTTCACTGCCCTTGCTCAGAAGTGCCCTGCCATATGAAGGACCCTTCTTGAGAACGCAAAGACCCCACTCCTATCCCCATCCCACTCCCACTGAAGCGACACATGTGCTTTCCCCCTCGCCAGCTTCTGCCATTTCTTATCATTTATTCATTTTAAAGTGAGAAATAGAAGCCTCAGAAGGAGGAACAACCCGGAAACCTTGGTCTTCCTCTAAAATTCAGACTATGAAACGCACTGCCCAGAATAACAGGAGAATCCTCTGGTACGATGCTATCTAATACTGTGGAAAGTATGCTATATACTGCTAACCTTCTACTCGGGCAAGTTTCACCTCACTGCACCAGACACTCCCAAAATGCATATTATTTCTACTTAAATGACCCCACCAATGATGTCTTCTCCAGCAAAAAAGTTATTCTACCTTTTCAGTTTGGTTATATTTATAATTTTCTGATGGTTTACACAGACTAAGAACCATCACATGAATTATGTTGAATTTTGACTATGCATTCAGTTCCAGCTATGAGAACTCAATAAAGCACAGACATTCTTCTGATATGTGAGATAACAGACTCATATTCTGTCTACTACCACTCACCAGCTTTCTGACTTGAGCGAGCTACATAACTTATGCCTTTTATTTTATAAAATAAAAGTTTTATTTTCAGTAAAAAAAATCTTATAGTGACACTAATAATAAAGTGAATAATTAATGTGAAATGTTTAGTAATGAAGATATGTTATCTATTTAATTTACTGAGGACCTAATATTCAACTAGTAGTTAGATGATATCTCCTAGTATCACTGATATAAAAAAGGAAATTTTTACCTCTTTATGAAGATAAGACATGCATCTAATGGAAAACATTTTTGAGTGCTCATTATACAGGGCAAACAGTTAGATAAGGAGGTATTATTAGAGTTGTCATTAATCTTGTGGTTCATTAGACAAACAGTTCCTAAAGTTGTCACACAGATGCTAATAACTAGAAATTTAATAAATTTTCACATGGACCTCAATACTTAGAAATTTAAGAATGTTGAATTAGAAATGAAGATACCTCTTTAAAGACATGTAACTAATGGAAAAATATTCTAAATTTAAGTATATCAGTTACATAACAAGTATATCATGAAATGAATAATATTTGGCACAATACAGGCATTGTACATGTTTTGTTTCATTTTTCAAGTTACTAGTAAAGGCTTAGTAATTTTAATTTTATTGACTTATTCATTATGAAGAATCTGCTTCTCAACAGTCATCCCCATTGATAGTATTAAAAGCTGAGATTAATTGAGCACTTACTATGTGGTATTACTCTAAGTATTTGTACATGCATTATTAAGTCACTGATCTTAACAATAACATTAAGTTATAGCATTTGTTATTATCCCAACGCTGTGGGTAAGAAAATTCAGTCACCTAAATAACTTTCCTAATGTGTGAAAGGTAGTAAGTTCTGCAGCTGTGTTAACACCCAGAGCTCTGGGCTCCAGAATGCATATCCTCAACCTCTATGTTGTGCTGCTTCCCATAAAGGAACAACAGCAAACGTCTCAGTGGAGTGACCAATGGTCTTCGATATCATAATGAAAGTCTGAAAGTATCTCAATGTCAACACGTTTAAGAGCGAGTTTCTGATCTATAACCAGGGTGCAAACTGCAGCTTGGCAAGTGAGCCCACAGCTGGACAGCAGATTCTGCTTGGAAGGGGAATAGCCAGCGTACTTCTTTGTCTTCCATAGATAATTAAAAGGGTTGATTTTCAGAGGGTGTGTGTGTGTGTGTGTGTGTGTGTGTGTTTTGCTTGAGCAGCTGATTGGATAAAGTTTTCATCAACCATGCCGGGGAAGCCTGAAGGTGAAGGTGGTTATAGATCAGAAACGCGCTCTTAAGCGTGTTGACGCTCCAGTGTTTTCCTAGTAATTTTTCGGAGGACACAGTAAGGTCATCGGGACTGACAAGATAACTGGATTTTTCTTTTTTTGATACCCTAAATTTCAGCACATAGGTCTAGGAGCTTGTTTCTGTCGGGGGGTGGGATCAAATATATTTTGCCCGTCCCTCCACTTACCTCCAGCTCGTCCAGTGCACTTCCCAGCGTGGCTGCCTGAGGATCAGATGAGGCCGGCACGTTCTGAATGCCTTGAGAAGCATTTGAAATCACATGGAGGGCATTCTGAATTTCTTCACAAACTGTGTCCTTGCTGGCTTTGAGGGCAGCAACATCAGAATGCTCCAAACAAGCTGAACAAATTGAATGCAAGAGAGGAGAGTTCTCCTTCAGCGCGGCCCGGGCGCCTGCAATTTCATCCCTCTGGTTTGGAGATTTTAAGTCCTGAGAAGATAAACAAAGATGGATAAAGTGAAAAAGTCACAGAAGCTCCATTTTTCTATCAATATAAATGAAAACTGACACTGAAACGTAAGTTATAAGTCAACCAAAGGCATCAGTTAATTTTGTACTCCTTCAAATTCTGGAGTTCCACACTAGGAAAGAACGGTTCACAAGCGAAAGTCACGAAGGTGCAGATGTGCACGCCCGGAGCAGATCTTAACACCGGTAAGTCATATCTGTGTAAGTCGCTAAGGGACTTGGGCACTCATTAAGTACATTAAGAAGAGAGCTTGAATTACAAGGATATTGATTACTTTTTTCCACAGATATTGATAGTTGAATTTCAAGTTTTATTAAAACAAAAACAAGTAAGTTTAAAACATTAAAGAACTTCTCACTCCCCAGCTAGTTTTGTAAATACCAATACATTAACTCTGGATCTTTCTTTCTTTGATATTTTTTCAACAAATACTGAGCCCTAATATTACTAACTTCTCTGAGGGGCTCCCGGTATTCAGAGGTAAACAATCCCAGAAGGGGACCTTGTTCTCCCAAAGCTTATGTTCTTGTGGGGGAAGGGGATGTACAAGCAAATAGTACAACTACAGAAGACAATTTAGTTATAATTCTATGGAATTACAAATGCCATGAAGAAGATATAGATGTGAAATGTCATAGAGACTGACCTGAAAGGACAAAACTGCTTTAATGTGGGTCAGCAAGGATATTGCTGTGGAGATGGCAATTTGAAATAAAATCTAAATGAAGAACATTACAAACAGAAAAGTAAGAGAAAAGAAAGTCCTAAGATATAGGTGATCAAAAATAGCATAAAACACAGTGAAAAAATCCACCAAACACTAAATTAACCAAGGGATGAAGATTAGCATATCGGCAACATCTCATGTGCATACTGTGGCCAGATCCTACACCATTGATATGTTGTGGCCAAGAAGAGCTCTCATTACCCAGTCAGAAGAAGCACAGCAGATAACACCACCCTGGGGACACCCTGTGTGGACACTCTACCCGAAAACCCTAAGTTATGGGAAACAAGGGAGCGATAAATAGTCACAGGTTGGAGCACACTCAGGAGACATAACAAATACACAAAATGTGGCACTCCAGATTGGCTTCTAGAACAAAGAGCTCTCTTGAAAACCTGGTAAAATCCAAATAAAGCTTATTAGTAGTTGACAGTCATACATCAACATTTTTTCTTTGTTGTGGCAAATGTTAACACATTAACAATGGAGAAAACTGAAAGGTAAGTGGGAACTCTAGTGTCTGTAACTTTTTTTGTGACTCTAAAATATTCTTTAAAATTTTATTTTAAAAAGCTAATTCAAGGAATTCAAGGAACATTTATAACAGTTTATGTACTTTATATACAATATTCTAAATAATCTTTAAACTGAGAATAAATGTAATTATTATCCTATTCTAAAAATGAGGAAATGGAGATCTCAAGAGATTAAGTTCTGTAGCCAAGATACAGAGATAGATGGTATCATTTCTTTGCTTTGGTTTTTTTTTT